TATATATATATATATATATATATATATACCGTAATCAGTGACCAAAGTCAGTAACCCCGCCAAGGTCGCGCGGCCGAGGTCAGTGACCCGCTCCCACCAAGGTCGCGCGGCCGAGGTCAGTGATCTTAGTGTAGTATGTATATAATACAATATAAAGTATAATATTATAAATATATAAATAACTTATATGTATAATATATATTATTTAAAATGTTATATATAATATATATATAAATTACGGTTACGTTATTTTAGTCGCGTATAGTTTTTCTACTCTTTCCTGTCACGTGACTTTACTTTAGTCACGTTTTTAATTTTCTCCACGTATACGACGAACTGTCATAATTGCTTTTTTGTCATTATTCACTCTCTCGATCTTACCAATTCGATTCGACTCGACTCGACCAACTCGGCAACCAATCGGCAACGCGGAAAAGAGAGAGGCAACAATAGATGCAATACGTTCGATATCAAAACACGTACTTCGCGGTCCAAATGGATTTTGTTATATAAGAAGGAAGGATTAGGTTGTTTGGAAAGTGTCTTTTTTTTAATAAAATGTAAAGACTTATCTAAATTAGATTCTATAAATGTTTATACCGTGCTGGATATTTTTAACTGCGCAATGTCTCGAGCAAGTTGCAAATCATAATGCCACTTAACTTAGTAGAAAACTACGAACGATCCAATAAATGTTTTAAATAGCATCCGTATTAAATTTAAAATTTGCTTTATCCTCAGAAGTTCAAATTGTAATTTAATTGTTACGCTCGAGTGCACGAACATCTAGTTTTCAGAATTATTGTGTCGTATCTTTCTTATTCTTAGATTATTATTTTTTTTTATTTTTAAAATACGCAAAATGCGGAATACATAAAAGTTTTATTTCGGAGCGGAGTCACAAAACTTTTGCGTATTATTGTCAGAATTCGCGAAACGCGCTTTTGTCGGATTTTTTTTTTTTTTAATCTTCCTTGTTAGTGGATCTTTATGGTGACGACTTCCTCGCTTTTTTTTTTGTATATCTCCGCGAATACTCTCTCTTACAATTTGAGCATTCGAGTCGGCCGGGCGCGGGCAACAATGTGTGACTTAATAAGTTGTTTAATATGATGAGCTCAGCATTATATTCTCGTCGAGATAAAAAGCAGAGAGGGATACCTCTCGCGGTCTTAAGGCGGATATTCCTTTTCCCATCAATTAAGATTTATATCTGACGCGCGTTATTATCGTGCGCTTTTTGCAACAACAGCACGGAATAATTTAGCATTAATTGCGTGTTGGCCCGTACGTCCGTTCTGTGTGTGTATCGCGTCCTGATTCGACGCCCGGCTTAAGATAACATAACACGCAAACATCGTGAAATTTCCTGTCGCAAGGTGTATCGTAGGTACACTTGTGCGATGTGTGTGCACCCTCGTTAATGTATGCACATTTTGTATGTGTATATGTATGTGTGTGTAAAAACTATTAATTTTCCTGCCACATAATTTTCAGCAGTTTTCCCGACGCGGTAATAAAAAAAATTGATACAGTCATTGCGAAAAAAAAAGAAACCGTGATGTAGTGAATAATCGTCGTGCTAGGATTTATATAGTTGTGCGAAAAAGAATCACTTTGAGAACTTTATCAAATTTTTGCAGCGCAGCCTGTTTCCGCGCGCGCCGCCGTTCAATATTGTGCCTCGTGTGTGATTTATTACGGAAGACTCCAAGTCCGTATTCGGAATCGGGGGTTCGCGGCCACTCTCTCGCGATTCGCCCTATACCGTTATTATCGATTGAGCGTTCTTCTACCGGGAGGGAGAGACTTCGCCGGAAGGTGAATGCACCGCAATAAATCAGGTTGATCGTTTGTGCCCCCATGCCGCGCGAAGAACCGGCCGTGCGCCTGAGAAATTAAGTATGCTTGCATGCCGGTAAGCTCAACACGCTAGCGATTCGCGTGTCGTAATCCCGGCAGCATTAATTAGCTCGAAAACGATGTCGTATATTTCGGGATGGAATTTCGGACCGGACTCTCGCCAGATTTTGCGCGACGTTGCACTTCGTTTTCAGCAAAAGCCGAAGACACGTTGAACAAAATACCGCGAGTGCACGAGTGTAGGTACAAAACGCGAGAACGGTCGCAAAAATTTCATTTTTAAAGGATCTTTCGTAGTTTGTGGAAAAGCAAGATTTTGTTTGTTCCGCACACGTTCTGACAAATATTCAAACCGTCTCGAAGACTTGTCAAACATTGCGGCTGGCTCGAAGCTTCCACTTTACACGATAGAGAAGAGAGAGGAAATTACGGAGCATTCGCGTCTTGTGCAAATTTTAGAAAAATTCATTCGAGCGAATAACTTTCTTTGATTTTTATTTTGATAGTGAGATTACGTTACGAGTTCATTCAATTTTATGAAGAACTCTCACAAAACCAATATTACACGCGGGAATGTGTGATTAGGATAGTTCAAAATTGTTATTTCGTAAATTCGTTTGTCTCGCGGCAAGGAACTTGAACAATTTCTTCGTCAAAGAAAATTCTGGAAAGTTCGCGGGTTTATATATCGTGCGAGACATGTGTGATACGCCGTTAAAAGGACATTGATTTGAGAAGAACTTTATATCTTCCACGCCAATTGGAGCGCGTCTCTAACCACCCTCGGGGAATCGTCTTTTGCTATCAGATCCTTCTTTAATACGGACTGAACTCGGAAACCCGGTTACATACATATATATATATATAAGAGGAAAAAGCTAGATTAGTGTCACATTACTGATAACGCATCACGCGTTAAAAATTTGCTTTGACATTTGAAATTATTCCCATCGGACCTGCGATGCGTAAACGTAGGTTCGAAAGGTTCGAAAGGTTAAAGAGTAAATAAAACAGCATGAACTTTTGAGAGATATACACAACACGGAAAAGAGTAAATTTATCAGAAAAGAGAAAAACGGAGAAATTTCGCGAAGTTGATTTCAAACATTGAAAAATGCTGTAATCGATCTTGTCTCAATTATTTGGAATACGAATCGCGAAGTTTTTTTACTTGCGCGTTGTATAATATAATCGTCAAAAAGCGATGTGATCGACAAATTCTGAAAATTCTGAGTCCGATATAAAACACGTATTACGTATAATAACTGCATAGAGTCTTTTCGGAAAGCACGTTGGTAATATTTGAATTTCAAAGGCACTAGAAAGAGATTAAAGAGTAGCGACAGACTATATAAACCGTCTTACCGGGTCTCGCGAGAAAGTCTTTGTCGTTTAATTCTTAAATGTAGATATACTAAATATCGATCTGTGACGTCGAAGTATAAAACGGATCGAACCGGCGAGGGAGAGAGAGAAGTACCCCCGCGTTGCGACCACTCACGACCCACTTATATCCCTCTACTGCTTATTATATAATATTCTTTGCCCTAAAAACCCGCGCCACTCGTGCGTTGCGTCGAGAAAATTTATATCCGTCCCACGTGACCGATCGCGCCATTTTCTTTCGACCTATGGTTGGAAATTGAAACTCACGTCGCTTTTTCACTTACCGAAGATGAACATCAGGATAGGCACGGTAGTCAGACAGGTCAGACACACGGTGAACGTCATCGTCTTGCTGATGACGCGTAATGCGCGAAAGACAAAGTCGCATATGCCGTTCGCCTCGAGATGGGCGTCCTTCAGCTGGAACACGACCGAGCCGTAAGTCGCCACGCCGAGATTCGTCGCTTCCGTGTTACCCTTTTCGGGCGCTTTCGCGCCGCCGGCGAAAAGTCGACGCGACTCGTCGCCTGAAAGCTGAAAGCACACACACACACGCACACACATGCGCGCGACGAGCGCAAATTAGATTTTCTCTTGCAATGTAATACAATTTTGCTCCAGTGAGTTCATTCACTTTGATTAATACCGAAACACACATGACTCCCACGGACTTTAGTCCGTAGGAGGAACTTCGCGTGGAGCTGTGATAACAGGCGCTATTTCAGCGTCGCTGCGCGTTTCTTTGCAACATTACAACAAATTCCCTTCTCTCCGACTTTGGTTAATGCTATTTGTAATTCTCTGTTTTATCTCGTGCGTATATTAATCCTGCATATTATTTAGTCTGCGCGTTGCTCGCTTCATCTGCATTTCGCTGATTACGAAGTAATCCAATTAGCGACAGAGCGAAAGCAGTTTTTCCCGTCTTTCATTGTCGGAAAACTCATGTTAACCGGCACGCTGGTATAATGCGAGGGAAAAAAACGTAACGACAGAATCCTGGAAACGTTAAAAGCGCAATTCAAGGTTTTTCAAAAAAAATTCTTTCGAAGTGCGCGCGATTCGGATGCTTCTTTTAATTAACAAACTTCAATGCTGCACGATAAAAGTAGGTAAATAAAGAAAAACCTGCGAGAAGCGACGCTCTTCGTTTCCAGAGATCTTTAATTTTATATTGGCTTATAATTAGTAGTGGAATATTTTCTATTTACTACAACGTCTTTTCGAGATGATTTCAAGAGTCGGAGATCAATTTATATTCCGTTCGTCTTCCGTTCACAACGTAAATCCCGGATCCAATAAACGATTGTGAAAAGTGCGAGCGCAGCTCTCTCGCCGAACTGGCTGGCGTTTCTTATTTCTTATCGCCCATTCTCGGCTTTACGTCTCTCCACGGAATTGATCCTTTGAGAGATTCTCGCGTAGCGCGCGCGCGCGCGCACGTGTGCGCACACACATCTCTAACACGTTTTTCACGCGGAAAATAAGCAGTGGATGTGATCCGCGCGGGAAAACTTCAAGCTGTCACGAGCAGAATGTGTGCCAACACTTTTGATCCCTCCGCGAATCTCCTCGCTCAGATCTCACCGCGTCACGCAAAACGGGTAGTAAACCCGCGCACTTTTAATAGATAGTCAATAGTTCGTGAAAAAAAACGTCATTTTGTCGGTTTTTTCTATTTTCAAATCACAAAAGCAAAATCTCATCATCACGCGCGTGTAATTCTCTCAATTTTCGAACAAAAGAAAATTTGCGCAAAAGACAAATTGAACTAACTCGCTATTGATTATTTTGGCTTCGAGAGAAGAAAAAATTGTGTAAGAAAGTCAAAAGACGAAGTAACTCCTGAGATTCGGATTTCTTCTGACATGAAGCAAAGGGCAAGGGTGGAAGAGTAGATTTCGCGATGAAGCCAACGGGTCGGGTCGTACGTTACTCGCTCCGTTACTTACTTCGCGTGCATCGCCGCACCGTGTCGTGCCACACGGCTGTGTCCGCACCGGAAACTCCAGGCCGGAATGCAATTTCAGATCGTGTAAGTTATTTTCTTTTAAAAAAGAGCTCTTCTTCCACTGATAAATGCGAGATGCACAAAAGAAATATTCGTCTCGCTTTGCGCAATTTAATAATAGAACGTACGCAAGACTGTAATATATACGCGGAGCTCTCGCGAAAATGTAAACGATATATCGCCGTTTGTAATTTTGTGTTACGCGTGTTAAGTGATTAATTTAACATCCTCCAGTTAAGATTGCACGGTTTCTTTTGTGATAGATGAGCTGTACTCTCTTTTTTTTTTTTTTTTTTACTCTCGTTCCGCGAACAATTCACTCACGTCCCGTGGTTTTACAACCGAACACGGTATAAAGCGAATTACACCGCAAAAAATAAAAATTTGCACGCGACAGAATAAATCTCTCTGTCGTAGCTGTGACGTAGCGCGCGCGGAGGTGAAAAAAAAAAAAAAAAACGGCCGCAAAACCAACGTCTCCGAGAGCAATAACGAAGAAAATTACTTTGAAGATTTTATGAGGATATGCGCGCGCCGAAGGTTATAAGCAACGAGTAAAAAACGAAAAAAAAATGGAATTAGGAAATAACGCCTACACGTAGCTATCGCAGCGAGGTTCAATGGAAATTCATTTGGCAAAGAGCAACACTTTTTCGAAGCAAAAATTCCCCCGAAAATTCGTGCGCGCACGGATGAATCCGTTTTTCCGCTTTTAAAACTGTGGTTTCCATTTCGTACTTATTTTGCGATACGTATATAAAGCGGAAGTATCTGTATGTACATTTTATAATTACTCCAAGAGAAACTTTTTTTTTTGTTTTAGATAATCTCACTGGCAATTCTTCAGTTCATGCTTGCAAAAGCGTATATAATACGATGTTTCTGTATATGCGTGAATATATACATGTGTATTTAGCACATCAATTTGATAACGATAAAATCACCTCGGCACAAGATATAAAATTCTATTTTATTTTGATTTATTTTCATTCATCTGAGAAGAACGTTTATCTAATTATTTTCACTTTGTAGAGAGAGAATAATGCGGAAAAGAGTCTCGACACGCGCACGACGTATGAAATAGAACGTCATTGTTGTGTGTTCACAAAACAACACAATATTTCACACAATAGCTCATCCGTTGTAATGAATGAAAAATGCTTCATGCGATCAGAGGAAGGAGGGGAGGAGGAGGTCGAACTATTTCGCAAAAAGTTTTTTTTTCTCAAAACTCGCGGGAGTTACCTTGTTAGCGTATATTTCCGGGGCAAAAAAAAAAGTATGTTTTCTCTCTGCGCTCGCAACTGTTCCACGTCGTAATTACTACGACCGAATGATAAATGACAAATTTACGTCCTTGCGAGTTTATGCCAAGTAACATATTTCGCGATGAGCGATAAGGGTGTCCTTAGACAGTCGTTTCCGTGGCGAGGAAATTCTGCTCGTGATGCATCGTGGAACAACGTGACCGTGTAAGAGTAATCAGCGGGTCGAAATGTAGCAATATAAGAAAAGAAACAGCGACTGATTACCTGCGAAACGGAGCTGCTGGCTCGTCTGGAGTCCGCCCAGGTATTCGTTCCGTATCCCAAATTGATCTGCGCGCCGCCGCTCCCGCCCGATCTGACGCTCCCCGAACTCACATCCCTTTGGCGATAAGGTGAGGAACTTCGATTTCTCGTGCTCCCTGAACAAACATAGGATATTTCTGTCATTTCTCTCTCTCTGACTGCCTTTTGATGCTCGGGGCTACCGGAGCGCATGCACTTCGGAAATACGCTAGCACAGACGGAAAACCCAGCTAGCTATTCGAAAGCGTCGCGAGATCGAGTCTTCGACTTCAAAGTCACTGTGCAAAATGTATCCAACATATGAGAACGACGTGTTTATTTGCCATCCGACTGTAATTCCTTTCCCCGCGTCGTATTTTCAAATTCAGTTTGCGCTATGTGAGATACTCGTGCGTTCGGAAGTATCCGACTACTTATATTTCTTCTGAAAATTCTACGTAAACTTGTATATTGAGTTTTTTGTTTTCAATTAACTTGACAGAGAGAAAACTGTGCGATATTAAATTTTTCTGGGATCCGGAACATATCTTATTCCGATTGTTTGAACTCTCTCAGATCTCTTTGTTTCTATACGCTTGCAGTTAACGAATGTCGTATAACTGAACTTGCGCGCACACGGGAGTATGGACAATGGCGAACTGTGTGCTCCAATTAACGATGTTTGCAATTTGTATCTCTCGTTGCACGAATTTCGCGCCCGTTACAAAGAAAGACTATTACACGTACTGCAAACTCGGAGCGACGAGATATCTTTGTCAGCAGGGGCTTCGACGTAATGCGCGTCTCCCCCCTCTCGTGCGATAAATCCCAGTCGTCTTCAATTTACGAATCTCATCTGCGCTCGAGTGATGTCGATTATCGCGATGCCCGGCCCTCTCTTCGCGCACGATTCTCGCCGCGAAATTTATCGGTTTCGCGTGTCTGCTGCGTAGCTCGGTAAACAAGCCAATCCTCGCCGTCGTATTGATCTCAGACTTCTAATCTCGATGGAGAGACCGAGCGGGTTCGCACGGCTGAGGCGTGTAAAAAAGAATGTTTCACAGTACAATCTTCCGCAATAGAAAAATTAACACACATTTAACAACAATTATATATAAAATTGGAAAAATGGTTTAAATTACAAAACAGCGTTGATTGACTGTTAAAAAAATTTCTCATTTTTTTCTTCCTCGAAAAATTTTCAAGGAAAACCTCACACGTTCGCGCTGCTCCGTTTGATTATTAGCGACGGCGCACGCAACTCTCCTTTTCGCGTCGCGCCAAGTAGGTAAATGAGAATACGTATCAAGACACACGCGTATTTTCGATTTCGTGACTGATGGCGATTCGTTGGCTGATATTAATGAGCGCGCACGCGACGAAATCAGGCCAATTTGCGCGGTCGCGGCATAACCTTTTAGCGGTGTATGTACCTCAGCGCGCGTGATGTTAATTATCGTTGGGATTTAAGTACTTCTTGTTTGCCCCGTGTTTGATTTCGCGCGCTTCTCTCTTTTTTTTCACTCCCTCTTTCCTGTCATTCTTCCTCTTTCGTGACGTGGAAATTCACGCGCCGTTAAAAACCTCGTTAGCAGAGCATTTGGTTTCTCGCGAGTTACATCTCATTCGCAGAAAACATCGAATCGCACGGTAATCGCGAAACATCCTTTGTTTAATATTGTGAAGTCAGTTTTTGCAAAAGCTTATATGAGGTTTAATGGTGTTACGTCAATATCATTTGGATTTTCTCGAAAATCATTACGGTTACGAATTTCCACGTACATATGTTTAAGTTTTTCACGTTATTTCGCGTTTAGCGAATGAATGTGTCCGAGAGATAATTAAATTTTATAGTATTATATTATAATTAAATTATTCAATATATATATATAATTTTAAATGCGCGATGTTTAGACAGGCGTAAAATTGGATTTTCTTTATTGAGAATAAAGCTGATAATTCGAGAACCACAAGTACAAATTCAAACACTCGATTAAATAAAGGAGAGAGAAAAAAATTATTTTTACATTATGAACTCTGCCCCACATTTCTGATTGTGACTATCGTATTTATAAAGAAACAAGATGATATGTCAGCAAAATAAAAGTTGATGCAAAATCGATACTCGCAAAAACACCATCTGTATGGTCTGACTACGTATTACAATAAATTTAATCGAGCGAGAGTACTTAAGGAAAGAATTGGTTCATTGTCGCCGAAAATCCGCTCGTCGTTTTTTAAACATTATTTTGACATTCGCTCGACAGATTGTTTCTTCCGTTTCATGCATCAGGCGCTTATTCGAGGCGCGCGTATAACCGTCGCATCCGTCCAGATTTCGAGAAATATATCGAGTGCGCGATATCGGATGACGATATACGAGCGAAAGTGTGTAACGTCCGGCGAATCAATTTCCGCCGCACGCGGGATATATAACATTATCCCGGCATCTATCGCATTCCGATGCCGTGAGAAACGAACGAAATCTAATCGGCTTCTCCGGAGACTTGACTTCGAGAGTTGCTCTTACCCTTTAGATATGGTAACGAGCGTCAAATTGCCGCTCCCAAAGGAAGAAATATTCGCTGTCTCGGAATAGATTTTCAGCTTGGGAAATTTCACGGGAAAATTTGAAGATGATAGAGTGGAATTTTAACGAATACACAAACGAGAGCAACACGAGAGTCTAGCCACGCATAAAAAGTGTATAGCTCTTTTTTGCAAACTATATGTACAAAAAATAAATAAATAAAATATATAAAGAAATATATTCACAAAGAACATTTTTGTGTGTGTGCGTTTTGCGCTTCTATATTTATTAATATAAAATAAAATACGGATTTCTATCTCTTTCTTTCTTTGTAACTTTGCTTTTCATTTCCTTCAATCATTTTGCGGATAGCATTTCCAATAACAGGTTTAGAAATATAATCATAATCTCGTCGACTCGAGCCCGAGATGAAAATACAACAATATCGAATACAATTGTTTATCATGTGTGTGTATATATCTATATGATAGATATATCCAACGTATACGTAGACATATTATTGGCACAATCCGACCGCATTTGCGGCAAAGCATAAGCGGTTTCGTCAGCACATCGCGCTGCGTTTCACCGCGATGCTATAATTCCGCGAACCCTGGGTGGGAATATCTAGATTTTGATATTGAACATTGCGGTTCCGAGACACATTTAAGAATCCTCGATCACATGTTTTCGCGGATCTGTTCCCGAAGTTACGCAACATCGACGTTAAGTCTGCGGTAACGTCACTTTGTTCCTTTGTGGAACAACATCGACCACAACTCTCGGGACGCAAGATAATTATTTTCTTAATAAATTTTATCGCGTAGTGCGCGGTTAACTGTTGATCCGCAGTAAGATAACAAGTAAATTATAATATTTAATATGCTGAGAAAAAAATGGTCGATAATTATTACATTTTCTCACCTTGGTCCGCGGAAGCTCTTCTAGGATCCTGCACACCCAGGTTGCCCCTCGGCGCTCTTCTGTCCTGATGACCGCCGAGGCTGCTTCTGGGACTTCTGTCAATTCCGTCGGTTCCGATGCTTCCTCTTGGGCTTCTGTTCCCCTCGTCGTTGATGGCTCCGAGTGAACCCCTCGAGTGCCTCTCGACGTCGTTTATGCCTATACTTCCGCGCGGCGATCCGCGAGTTGCCGAGTCGTGCGGCGCGATCGAACCTCGCGGACTCCTATTGCTCTCCGGACATATCGATCCGCGGGGCGACCGATTCGGGTCTGGTCCTATCGAGCCGCGGGGCGATCTGTTGGGATCGGGCGCGATGGAGCCGCGCGGGCTCTGGTTCAGACACTCCGAGGCGATCGAACCGCGCGGACTCCTGTCCGTGACCTCCATGGGAGTGATGCTGCCTCTGGGCGGTCTGTGCATTTCCGGGCAGATCGAGCCGCGCGGACTCCGATCGAAGTCCAGATTCGCCATGCTGCCCCGCGGACTCCTCGTCGAGTCCGGCACTAATGAATGCCTGGGACTGCGATTGGCGTTGCCGTTCTCCGGTAGGAGGGACGTTCTCCCGACCGCAACCATGCTATTACGCGGACTTCTATTGTAGGCCACATCCGGCACGAGGGAGTTCCTCGGACTGAGCGCCGAGTCTGGGACGAGAGAATGACGCGGACTCAGGGAGATTTCTGGTGTCAGACTGCTACGTGGAGATCGCGCCACGTCAGGCACCAGACTGTTGCGCGGACTTCTGTTAGAGTCCGGTATCAGAGAGCCCCGCGGGCTTCTGCAGTAATCGTCAGGTATTAGAGAATTTCGCGAGCTGCGATTCGCCTCCGGCACCAAAGAGTTGCGACCGGTGCCGTATTGTTCCAAATCCGGCAGAATCCTGCGACAGACTCCCTGAAAATGAAACCGCATACGCGTTTGCCTTACGTATTTGTATAAATATCAGAAACACAAAACAGCACAAACATCAAGGATTGTTTGTATATCGCATCGGTTATTCGAAACCAGTAATCTTCCGTAACAATAAATAAACTCGTGACGATTTCAAAATAAATTTGATTGAGGTCAATGCGAGAAATTACGGGATGTTAATGTAAAAACTTTTTCTCTTTATCGTAAGAACTGATTAATTTTATATAAAAGTATTTGTGTAACCTAATGATTTTAACTTGAATTAAAAAATTAAGTATACTGATGCGCGATAGTGTTTTGTATGTTGTTATAAAAATTGTATTTATTTAAATATAAATTAGCTCGTTTGCATTTTCACATGCAAATGTGTGTGGCTGTTCAAATTAATTAACTGCAGTTTTCTCGAGAATTACTCGGAGAAACGGGGAGAGAGAAAGACAATGCTAAACACTCGCATTTCCGCAATGTATCTCGTTTAAGTAACATAGAAGGTAAATTTTATTCGTACACGTGAAAGCGCGAGGCAACGAATTTCAATCATGTTAGTAATATACGTGCGAGGCTAATTGATTTAGTTTTCAAAGCGCGTGTGTACGTCGCACCAATCGCCTGGGTTATGAATAACACGCGATAGCGATTTGTCTGCCGTGAAAATTGCATGACCCCAAAATTTTGCGGACAAACTGTGTGTAAAATACGTGATGCACAAAGTGTATCTAGTTTCAACCGAATATATGCAGTGCTTGTGTATATACCGATCGAATGCAACATCAAATGCGACTCATACACACGCACTTGGCCGGGTAATCGAATATTCTGTAACACTGCGTAACTCGAAGCGATTAAAAACATATACAAAAAAACAAAATATTTGTTTCGTATTCTAACGATAGGTTAAATGGGAATCTCGGTATACTAAAATGTTTTTTTTTCCATCATTTACATCGCGCGAAGCAAGTGAATTGTTTGATTCCAGTTGTGTTCGCAGGTATTTAAAAAAATTATTTGTTCAAGCTAAGTTTTATGCATTTTCTCTAGAAAAGCGAGTTTTAAATTAGTTAATTAGTTAGTTTTAATTCGACTGCGAGTCAAAAAAATGAAATGAAGAACTATAGGTGAATCTTTGATATCCTTGTACTAAGTCAATAATCACAAGAATATTTATAAATTATACAAGGGGAGTTTATAGATATATATATCTGGACTCCTAAAATATACATATATATATATATATGTGTGTATATTTCAGAGATACATATAAAGAAGATAAATACTAACTTCGTCGGGAGAGTCGCTTTCGGTATCCAGAGCTATATTCGGCACCATGCTACCCCTCGGCGACCGCTGTCTCTCCATCGTTCCGCCGGGGCTGCTTGGTAAAACAATGGGCTTCTCGGTGGCGACGCTTGCACGTCGACCTCGCATCGTCGAAGACGCCCCTGCTGGCTGACTCGAGTTGGCTACGCTTGGCGACGCTCGTCGGCGTCGCGACGAAGCGCTCCGATGTAACATCACGGTGACATCCTGTCACTCCTGCGACACAGCGCATTTTCCATCCCATTATTTATCGAATATATTTAATTTTGCCTCTTTTTCTCTCTCTCTCTAAAAGATATTAATATTTTTATTTAATAATTAATATTAATGCGAAAAAAAAACAAATTATTGTGGGAAAATCAAAATAAGATATTTTTTGGTTAAACGCGATAAACAATGTTAATAGAATAATGTTTTAATATTTATACTGTATTTTTTAATTCACATACACACACGCATAGATATACAAAGTCTAGCAACTGTTTCAAACAAAAATCGTGCTATCGTACGATTTACTTTTCGATATACACATTTCTAGACAAACGATTTTAAATGCCCCTGACAAGATTTTAAAGAACATTTACTGTCTTAAGTGTTGCGCGGTTAACTTTTAACATAAGACGACCCAGATAAGTACGCGATAATAGTGTATTAAGCTTTCCCTAATTTCGTAATGCACAACATGCATTTTGAAGCGTCAATAAGAGCGTGTCTCTCATAGCACGTAGCTCTTCTACCACGTTGGCTGCGAACATATTATTGATCCGTATAAGTGTAAAAGACCGTCGTGGTAAGAGCAGATTAATTTGCAACTTAAGTACGTCGCAACAAGCACTTCGCGATGCGTGACGTCTCATGTAGAGGCGACAACATAATTAATGGAAATATTGCGCAATCTGTTTCTCCACTGAGGAACAGTTGCTGGTATTATGCAATTTCAACGTGAAACGTGTTTATCAGCTTATGTGTTATGTTTTTCACACAGAAAGTGAATATAAACTATAAATAATGCCTATATAACTGTATGTAGAGATATAAATTGAACATCTCTTTATATCTCGTGTAATTAAAAACACGAAGGTGTATACGAAGGATACAAAAGAGAATGCGAGCACGGAAATATGGCCATTGGCAGCACGAATGAATTATCCCAATATCGTTAATTGTTTTGTGTTTGAACGCGATCAACGCGTATTGAATAAAACTTCGCTCTCGCATTTCATGGGACGACGTGGGATATTCGATCTGATGAAATCGATAATGGCTTTATTGGGCGGTTTTATTGACGGAGAATAATTCCTTGCTGAGATATAAACGATAAATGCACTCTTTGCCGCAGGCTGAAATGTTAATAGACGCAACAATAAGTCTGTCAATCTGGCTGTTACTTTGCGCGAAAAAAATAAAATCGACAAATATATATATATATATATATATATATATATATATACAATATATATGTACAATATCATATATATATATATATATATATATATATATATATATATGACAAAAATTGTGTTATTTTGCGTGTAATGTCGTTCTCTTAGTCGGAATTAAATTCGCATGCAAATGAATCCCAACGGGAAATTTTCACGACAATACAATTTGCAGAATATATTTTCGAAACGAGTCCGCGATATAACGACGACTAAATTATCGAACATTAATACTGAAAAGTTCAGTTATTACAGAGATATTATTTCAGACATTATTACGCCTTTTTTATGTTTCATTTGCATACACATGCACACAGGTAATTTGAGAAATAATATTATTCCTTAATATTTTACCTATTCTCTATGTTGCGGAGAAATCTCTTTCAAGCGTGAACTTCATAAAGTCACCGGACAAACGGAGCGTGAAATTCCGCGAGGAAGTCTCCACTTAGACGAAAGAAAATCGGGATTCGATAATCAAACGAACGCGAGGAATAACGTGCGCGATCTTTAACGTTACGTACAAAAAACTTTTCAATGCGTAGGAGCGAGGTTGCCTATTAATTCTCTTTCTCGGCGCGTTTCTTCGAAATCCGATAGGGAATGGAGAAAGTTTTGACAGAAACTTCGCACACAAGTGAAATCTCTCATAACACCAAACTGCAGTGTCGTGATGTTACGTGTCTGCCTGCACGCTTACCTTCTCTACTTGCGCAAGCAACTTAGTCTCCGCGTGCACACACATTCGCGCGATCCATCCGGACGCTGTAGACACTTTCACGATGTTTCCGAGCGTCTGTGTGCATCTGCGCGGGATAACATTTCTCGCAAAGATACACTTTCGCGCGCATCAGATTCTCTCTCTCTCTCTCATCTCTGTCGGTTTGTCCAAGTTTTATCGACGAACAGCGTATATCGAGAAAATCTATGTCGTGGATATTTATATATATATATATATAATATCGTGAGTTGCACGCGCAACGTGCGCAATGGAAAATTTTCCGAAGGCTTTTTATAATATTCATTCAGTGGTCTCTCGGAACGAACTGTCGACACCATTACGCGATCCCGTAAGCAAGCACGACACGTTTGCGCAACTTACGTCGCCGTTCCGATGGAGCGTTGAAAATATTTTGCTGACATTTAATAGTCGTGACGCGCGCTTGTTATTTTCCCGCCTACGCGAAAGTCTCCCTGCGTTAAGTCACAAGTTTCTCGTTGAGACTCTCACGAGATTATCTGCGTTATCAGCATCGGCGTTATTCTCATCGGTCAATGGGGAAGAGCCTGTGCTGATGTTCGCCGATGTTGTAAGCCGCGCGCGCGCGCGCTCGCGCAAGTTTTCAGGATGGTCGAGTAATTAACATGCTATTGATACTGATAGAGTAACGCGAGTTCGTAATTAATAACATCCGATAGTGCGCAATATGTTACGTTACAAGTAGCGTACATTTTGCGATTACGTGATGTCACGCCCGAATTAATTACTTGGCTTAAACAGAGTATTGCTTTAATGGACTGCGGAATGAACAGGCTACTAACTAGCGGTTACAAGTACCTATACAATAACAAAATTAGAAAGCTTAATTGTTCTTGCTGCGCGGTAACAAATAATACGCATACGTATAATCGATTAAATTACCTCATGATGGAAAATGTTATTATTACGTATATATTATTTACGTTCCCCTTTAAAATTTTTCAAAGAACGATAAAGAGTAATAAACAACTGAATAAATGAACTCAATGAGATAAAATAACAAGTGTGCGATATAATCTTGAACTCTCTTCGAAAAACAACAACTTCCTCTCTTCCAACAACGTACATCGACTTTTTTTTTTATTTCAGAAGAAAACATCCCGATAATTTTTGAGAAAATATTTTTCGAGTATGAAAAAAAACATTTTGGAAATGTTCATAACGTCAGGAATTCTAGACCGAACGACAAAGCACTGAAAGTTAATTAATCGAGAGAACGAGCAAAAGCGCGCGCGGTCAATTACTCTCGTCGTGATACTTCGACGGGATCGACTCGCCGTACCCGTCGTACTGTACCACCGGCCTCCGATCAACTCCGGCAAGTCCGTTACGGTCATTTAGCACGGAACTATATATATATATATATTTCGTATAGTAAACCCACGACGTGTGGATACTGCGCGGCCGTCTAAATTAAGCGGCAAGGATTAATTTTCGCGTATCCACGGCAAAAGCCGCAAAAGGAACGATCTCTGCCGCTACGCGCGTCCATTAACGCCGTAATCTCGCTCAATGTTAGATAGAAGACCCAGCTTTACCTCGTCATCTGCCGCCGTGTCTGAAGAGACGTATGAATTATTGGGTGAACAAGGAACGGCATTAATGAAGATGGAAAGCGGCTTGTAACAGCGCGAGTGTTCCTCTGAATTTTCCTCTTTCACTTCCCCGTCCCTGTTCTTTCTGTCTGTCTCTTTCTCTCCTTCCGTGTCCTTCTCTCTTCCGAAATCTGAGCGCGGTTCTTAAGCTATTGAATACTTAATATCGAGTGCTCGACAATTAGAGTGAGATGCATTCAACGTGAAAGAGTTCGTGTATCGGGTGCGAGAAGATTTAAGAGAACAGAAGTATTTTTAATCGCGCACGAAAGTGAAAAATTCAAATTGCGATATTTCTGTGCGTTATGATTTCGTTCTTCTGTTAAAATTTCTAATTGCCGTTTTGCGAGCAAATCGCGCCGATAATATCGTGAAGATTGTTGACAGCTTTGTCTCGAGAATTATTAAACACACACACACACACTTCCCCGAGATCTCGAACGTATCTGTGTGTGTCAATTAATTTGCCCGACAATATTAATTACGACCGTGCATGACACAAGTTTTATCGACCAAACAGTGACACGCAACGAGAAGATTGACGAAGAATAAAAAAGCAAGACATTAATTTCTTAAAATAAAGTACACTCTTACAATACTTAAAATATCAAGTATAACTTAATAAAATATTATTGTTGGGACGCGCAATTAATTAAAAAATTATTCCCGGCAGATTTTGTTCGGCTTTGATAGTCACGCAATTTATCAATCACGTTTTAGCCGCAATCCGATATCAGCTTTTGAATAAGAGCAACGTAATTAATCATTCGCATTACCACACGCTATTAATTCTTCATAACGCCTAAATAAAACATGAAAACGTTCATCGCGGTTTGATTGACGCTGCTTATAATCGCGCGAAAATTTAATTAACGGCTGACTGTTCGGTGCGCGCAATCAAGACAAACGATCTTGCTAACGTAATAATAATCGTCGATTCCTAGAAAGTGACAGACCGGAATCGGAGCGTTTCCGACACGCTGCAACATCTTTTCCGGGGGGGACGCACCTTTCTTTCTCTTATCAACTTTCCCCAGCATCCGAAGGAAAACCATTTGTCTTCCGGGCGGGAAAGAAGAAGACTTTGGCAAATGAAACGGCGGGCTTAACAGCGCGGAATTCACGCCAATCCCGCGAAGTGCGATGCCGTGTATGCGCGCGCGACCGCGATTCGTTTCAATTTTTATCGTCCGCAAAATTATTCCAAAGACCCCATTGTATCTCGCAGGGAGAGGCACACGGAAATAAATGGATTTCTGACACGAAGGATAAACGAGAAACACGTGGTATGGAATAATGGACGAGAGAGAAGAGGAAGAGAGAAGAGGAAGAGAGAA